TTCTTACGGTTAATAGTTTCCCTGTAGAAGAAAGTCAGAACTTTAACTGCCAAGCAGGTTGGACAGATGCTCAGAGGTTAAAAGAACTTGCTGCTTCACAGAGGACCCAGGTTCAGTTTCCAACACCCACATGGAGGCTCACAACTGTGACTCTAGTGCTAGGAGATCTGACACCCTACTCCCAGCCTCTGTGGGCACTGCATGCACATAGTACAGTTATATATATTCAGATAAAACATTCACATACATAAAATAAAAATAAGCCAGGTATGAGAGCATATGCTTTTAAACCCAGTATTTCAGAGGCAGAAAGATCTCTGAGGGTTGGAAGCCAGCTTGGTCTACATGGTGAGTTCCAGACCAGCCAGGACTACATACTAAGGGCCTGTCTCAAAAAACCAACTAAACAAGCAAAACACCCAAACAAAAACAATCTTCAGCTGCCAGAAAGCTAGAAAACTCTAGTATGAAACACTAGACAGAATGTCCCCACTAAAATCTACTGCTCTAGGCTAAGGATAGAATTTAATTTGGTAGAATGCTTGCCTAACTTACATGACACCCTGGGCTTGCTCTTCAGTACCACACAAACTGGGCTGGTTGAAGAACATTTGTTGTTTTGCTTTTTTTTTTTTAATTTTTATTGAATTTCTGTGTATTGCATACAGAAATTTTTTATACACCCTTCCCCTTTGGCACCTCCCATAGCACCCCCAATGGAGTTCATACATTGTCATTTGTGTTAAGGCCTATCATATAAAGTTAGTGTCCCCAGACGTCCCTCAGTGCAAGTTCATCCACAGGGTTGAACTTTGCAATCCTAGCCTATAATCCCAGCACTTGGGAAGTGGAGGCAGGAAGATCAGAAGTTCAAGGTCACCCTCTGCTAAATGGGATAAAAAGCATTTCAGATTTTTGAAATATCTGCATACAAATAATGAGGTCTCATTTGAAAAAGCACTATGACCCCAATACAAACACAAAAATTCACTGAGGTTTCATCTATACACTTTATCACAGAGCCTGAAGACAATTTTAAAGTGTCCACGTGTGTCCGCATGCACCTGCATAGGCCAGAAGAGGGCACTAGATCCCCTGGGGCTGGAATCATAGTTGTGAGATGCCCAATGTGGGTGCTGGGAACTCACCTCTAGTCCTCTGATGGAGCAGCAAGCATTCTTAGCTGCAGAGCCATCTCTCCAGCTCCCTAAAGGTAATTTTATAACATACTTTTAATGTGATGGTGGTTTTTGGTTGTTTTAATTATTTTTGTCTGTTTTTACAGTCTGGGTTCTGAACCTAGTACCTTACACATGCTAGGTGGATACTCTACCACTGAGTTATATCTCCAGCCTTCTTATTTTACTTTTTATTTTGAGACAAGGTCTCACTAAGTAAGTTGCTCAAGCTTCCCCTGAACTTACTCTGTAGCTGAGGCTAGCCTATAACTAACTGTAACACAGGCTGGCCTCAAACTTGTGGCAATTCTCCAGTCACAGCCTCCTGAGTGGTAGGATTGCAGGCCTGAGTCATCATACCCAGTTGTTTAAGATAAGGTCTCATTAGGAACCCCAGGCTGGCCTCCAATTTGTAATCCTCCTGCCTCACCTTCCTGAGTGCTGAAATTACAGGCATTATCACATGTACTACCACACTAGGCAGTAAGAACTTGGTCATTTCATAGTTTCTGTTTGCTTGTAGACAGGGCCTTAAACATCTTGGGCCGGCTTAGAACTCTCTGTATAGCCAAGGATGACCTTGAACTTCTATCTGCCTGCCTCCACATCTGGAGGAGCACTAGGATTACAGGCATGTGATACTATGCCTGGTTTTACTGAATTCGGGGATCAAGTCCACGTTTTTACATATGCTAGGCAAGTATTCTATCAACTGAGCTACATTCAACCCTTTCATTCTAAAAAACTGTGGTATTAGAAATGAACACAGGGCCTTGTACATGCTAGACAGGTTGTTTACCACTAAGCTACTCAATAGGGTGTGACTGTGTTTTGACGTGAATTCAGTAAGATAAGGAATTGTTCTACACATGGCATCAAGTTCGCACTTAAAAGTTTTGAATTTCTGAGCATTTTGGATTTTGAATTGGATTAGGTATGCTAAACCTATAGTAGGGGAATACATACTATTAATTCAAATTCTGTTTCACTACTAACCACGTGCCAACAGAATGTGAAGCACTGGAAATATAAGCATTAGATGCTGGTTCTGTCTGTAAGGAGCAAAGGAGCAGACAGCAGAGCTGCTTAGATGATAGCTCTCAACAGCTGTTATGTGTGGTCGTGGTGAGGGCTGCATGTACATGTACGCAGAGACCAGAGGATGTTATGCTTGGCTTTTACATGGGTACTAAGAACTGAAATCAGGTCCTCATGCAGCTAGCAGCACTTTATTGACTGAGCCACCCTCCTACCATAGAGCACCCCCACCCCCCAGTCCCCAACAGCTCTTTGAATCAGGAGCATGTGTAGAGAGTATAACCAAGCTAGGGCATGGGTAGAGAGTATAACCAAGCCATATCAGCCTTCTGCTTCCCAACACCAGCAAGCTGGGGCTCCCTCCATAGCCTCTCCTATTTCCTATTCATGTGCAGACCCCAGGTAACCTCACCTGGTAGGCTTTCTGCACTTCGTCAGCACAAGCCTATTCTCTGAGCTCTCAGCTTGTATATCCAAAGGACCCTGACACTGGTACTTGACTGTATGGTGCCTGTTAGTCCAACACAATCAAAACCAGGCTTGACAGCTCTTCAGCAAGCATGTCTTGCCCATCTGAGTTTCTTAGCTCATGCAGTAAACCCTGATGCCATCTTTATTTCTCATTCTTTACCCTTCTCTCAACTCCCAATCTGTAAACAGATCCTGTTGCTGTGACCTTTACCACACATCTGGAACCTAAGCTCTTCTCCAAGTCTATAGCATCTCTTTTCATGTCTTATTGGAGCAACCTTGTATCTTGCTTCTGGCTTTGCCTCTCTGCAGCACATTCTCAACAAAAGCCAGAGCAAGGGCTGTAAGATGGTTCCGTGGGTAGAGGCACCTGCCTGACAACCTGAGTTCAGTCCCTAAAACTTACATGGTGTAAGGAGAGAACTGATTCCCATGAGCTGTTCTCTGACATCCACATGTGTACTGTGACACATGTACACCTACACACATGCATACACACACACACCCTCCACACACAATAAATCATAATAATAAATGTAAAAAAGCTAAATTAGCCAAGTCTGTTAAACTTCAGTTGAATCACATACTACTCCTCTCAAAACCTTTCAAAGAATCTGATTGATAGTAAATGCCCAAGTCCTCACTGTGACCTAGCAAGGACCCACAACTGAGCCTGTTACCTCTGCACCCTTAGTTCCTTCTCTGACTCTCACTCACTGCACTTGGGCACACCAACCTGTATGCCACTCCTCCATGACCCCACTTGCCCTTCATCTTGCATAGTTTTTTGGAATTAGTAAGAATGTGACTTCCAAAGTGAGACCTTTCCTGGCCATCCTGCTACAATTCCAAACCCCTGCCTCCTGTGTGAGCAACTCTAAGAACAACCAGGAGCTATGTTACAATGGTGGAGGAAGGCAAAATTTTCAAGCACTCCCTGAATCAGAGGATGGTAGACCATGAAAGGCCATTCAGCATTATGCCAGGAGAAAAACTGCCCCATCATACCCTAAACAATCTTCTATGTCATCAGTACCAACATAGGTCTTCAAATGCAGGTGTTTTTTCTACTTTGATCTTATAAGTAGCAGCACTCACTGTCCACTTAAGGTTCCATCATGTGACTACACAACTGTATTTTAACTCGAACTGATTTTCAGATTTAAGATAATATGAGTGGCATTAAACTGTGCTCCACCTTAACTACATTCCTCATATAAATAACTTAAATCCAAACAAATACCTAAAAAGGATGTGAATAATTAAATAATTCTAAGTGTCCCTCCACTCCATTCCCCTAGCAAGCAGTGTGACACTTCTGACACATATTCTAAAAAAATTAACTACAAAACATACATCTGGTGCATGCTCCTTGAGGAGTCAAGACTGCTGCTTCCTCCAACCATCTAAAACATGAAGGCAATGGATGACACAACCGAGATGTGTATTAACCATAAATATTACCCTCAAGTAAGATATAAGTATACTTATGATGCAGCTCCCAGTGGAAGAGAAACAACAGAAGCAATGCCATTCGGGGAGGGTAGAATTAAACCAGATGGCAAAATTCCTTTACAGAGAGCGGATTCTTGAAGGTAGGCAAAACGGTTCAACACAAAAAACACTAAGCTGCTGAGGAATGAACGAATCGCCTGTGTGAAAGATGTTTTTCGGACTATCTGAAAACGATGTATTTGGCAGACTTAATATCCAAAACGTGCCACCAAAAACGAAGGCATTGTACTGTCTCTCGAAGCTTCGGAAGCTTAAGGCAGGAAAAAAACCCCCCCCCCCCCGCCGCCCCAACACACACACACACTTAACCCAGAACTTGGACGCCAAGAAGTCAAAGTAGGACGCGACAGATTCATGTCTCCAGGTGAAGCAGCAGCAGCGTGGACCACCACACAAGATTACGGAACTTAAAAACAAAAGATGCGCACGTTGCGGCACCAGGAGCATCAGCCCACAACTTGACAGAAGTTAAGTCCACCGCTTCCCTCGGCAGCAAGGCCCAGCTCCGCAGCACGCAGGTCCGACCCGGCACCACCTGCCCGCATCCAGTTCGTCCCTCAGGTTTGCCGCCCTCCCGCGCAGAGCCGCAGACTGGGGCGCTCCCCGCCGGTTCAAGGGGCGCTGCAGGCCGCGACACAACGGGGATTCCATGAACTGTGGGACCAAGCTCGGCGGGGAGGCGGGGCCCGCCCGGCTCCCCACACCTTCCTCGATCCCACCGGCTCCCAGAGCCCCGGTGCCTGGAGTCGGGTGGCGACAGGAGGTCCCCGCGACAGGCTAGGCACCCGCTCTCCTCACCTGCGTCCATCTTCCTCGTCCGTCCGCCGACTGACCGCGATGTCGCTCCGACGGGCCACAGCGCGACGCGACAACGGAAGCCGCGGGGGCCAAGTGCAGCGCGGCGGAAACGCGGGCGCAGCCATCTCGCCGTACGGCGGCGCGGGGGCGAGGAAGCGGGGCAAGCGTAGGGGCGGGGCCTAGACGCGTGACGTTGCTGACAGACCTAGCCACCCGGAGCGGCACCGCCCCCTCACAGTACCCGAGAGCCCGGCTGAAGCAACGAGCGCTGCCCGACCCCCGCCGCCATCTTGCCGTACGGACGCCGCGCGCGCATGTCTCCGTACGGACTCGCAGCCCGCGGCCGCTCCCGCGCCTGCTTGGCCGCCGCCGCGACGTTCCACGGCCCTGCGCTGTGGCCCGGCAGCGCGAGCGCGGCGCGGTGCGGGCGGCAGCGCGCAGCCATTTTGCGGTACGGCGCGGCGGCGGCCCACGTCCCGAGCCGTGTCGCCGCGCTCCCTCGGGGCGGTCCAGGCCGGCAGGCAGGCGGCGAGGGCCGGACCCTGACGACGCTCGCGACCAAGGCCCGCGATGGTGATCTGCTGCGCGGCCGTGAACTGCTCGAACCGGCAGGGCAAAGGCGAGAAGCGCGCCGTCTCCTTCCACAGGTACGCGGTCCGCCACGCCCCCGCCCCGGCCGGACTAGCGGGGAAACTGAGGCCATGCGGCGGTTCGGGGGACTGCGGGGCCGCGGCGCCGTGGGAGAGCGGAGCGGGACGGAGCGGAGTGGGGAGCGGGGGGGGCGGCGGTCGCGGCGCTGTGTGACCTTGGTCTGGACCGTCGTCTCTGGGCCGAGCTCCGGGGCCAGCGCAGCCACGCCGCGGGCCGGGGACGACTGCAGGGCCCTGCCGCGGCCAGCCCGCCGGCCTCTCCGCCCGCACTGATTTGGGCTGGTGCCGCCAGTTCAGGCCGGCGCTTCCCGGGGTTGATTGTCCCCGCGCGTTTGTAGGATCTACCCGCTAGCCTTTCCGGGGCCGCCTGCTTGGAGGTGTGCGGCCGCAGTGTGGCCCGGCGCACGCAGTTCCACTTCCTGCATCTCCAGCCCGCAGCGGTGTCCTGCAGGGTCGCACTGAAGGGCTGCAGGCCGGCGCCCCCCGCAGCCTGGCCTGGGAGAGGCCGGCCGGGAACCGTGGGAAGGCGCTGTATACGGTCCTGGGTGGCCCCGCGGCGGGCCGCGCCCTCCCAAGGCGAGCTAGACTCCTCATTTCGGTGGGTCTACTGCGATTTCTAGCGGGAGAGAACAGCGAGCCAATTAACGCTTCCTTAGAAGCCACTTTGCACGTAACAGCCTATTTGCTGGTTCTTGGTGTTAAGTTTTGAAGATGGGAAAGGCACGTGTCTGTTCGAAAGTCACAGGTTTACATTATCTCGGGTCATTATGGTTTAATTTTTTTTAAGTAGTAATGTTAGATTATTTCACGTCAGACAGCATGCTTTCTTGACACTCCTTCAAAGTGTGTTCTAGAAGTTTTGTTTACTGGTTTTGCATCCTAGCATTGCAAGGATGGCTACTTTTAGCATTGATGTTCTAGTGTGGTGTAGGGGCAGAGGGGACTAGAGGACTGGGGATTCTAGGAACCAAGTTCACAAAACATTGAGAAAGGAAGTTAGAGGGCCATGTTGCTTAGAACTTCCAGATCCATCCTGTTAGGGCCCATCATGGTCCACAGTAAGCCTCATAAGACCTCAGGTGGAGCTTATACCAGTTAAGGATAGCTCCCACCCCACCTCTGTGTTCGGTATTACAGGTGTTCGGTATTACAGCGCACATTAAATGAAGAAATGACTAGGTATGTTATTGACAATCTCTGGGAACTGGTGGCCTTTTTTCATTTTTTTTTATTACGACATAATGCATAATAAAATTTACCATTTTTTTATTTTGAGGGGGTTTGGGAGTTTTGGGTATTTTTCTTTTCCCTTTTGGGGGGACAGTGTCTTTTGAGACAGAGTCCCTGGCTGGTCTGCAACTTGTTGTATAGCTCAGGCTAGCCTCAAATCAGTCATCCTGTCTCTGCCTCCCAAGTGCTGGGATCATATGCATGAGCCACCACACCCGACTTGTTGCTTTGTTTTCTGAAACAGATCTCATTTGTCCAAACTAGGCTTGTTGAACTCACAGTCCTCCTGCCTCAGCCTCCCAAGTGTTGGGATGATAGACCCTGGCCACCTTGTTTATCACTGCTTTGTTTTCTTCCACATAACTTCCTGAAGGAGCAGTTTTACTCCTGGTAGAAGAAATACATAGGAGCACAAAGCACTCTTAAGTTATATCCCCAGCCCCTCTGTTTTTGTGACAAGGCCTCATGTCGCCAAGCTGGCCTCCTGTGTCGCTGAGGATGACATCAAACCCCTCTTCATCTTGCCTCCACCTCCCCAGTGCTGGGATTACAGTTGTATAGTACCACACCTGACTCCTGGCCATCCTATTACTTTTTTAAGAGACAAGGTCTCTCTTAAGTTGTCCAGGTAGGCCTTGAACTCTCTGCAGCCCAAGCAAGCTTTGAACTTGTGATCCTCCTACTTGAGTAGCTGAGATTACAGGCCAGCAGTACCAAGCCTAGCTGGAGCTTTTGGGTCCCATGCTAGAGTTACTTCCTATACCCTAAGCTACTTGAGTCTCAGCTGTGGTTGGCACTGGGCTGGGCATTTGAAATCCTCTCCTGGTCTCTATCCCAGTTCTGTGGCCAGCAGTACCTGGCCTCTTAGTAGGTTTTAGCACCCCATGTTCCATCTTCCAGACACCGGGAAGTCTGATTGTGGTCCACTTTCTGGGAGCTGTTTCCTGTTGTCTAGGCGCCTCCTCTGTGCCCTGTGGCATTTGCCACAGCTAGGAAGAGTCTGCTTTTTTTCTATCTGTCCTCCAGACCAGTCCTCTTTATGTCCCAGTATGCCTGTTAGCAGAAGGTGGACTTTAAGTCCTTACTAGTTCTTAAGCAAATGACATCAGTATGGGTTTGGATGCTTGCAGAAATATTCATTTGCGTTTATAGCTGATAGTTTTCAGGAGAGGCATCTCATTATTTCTAAGCATTTTGTTATTTGTCCTGTAGGTTTCCCCTAAAGGACTCCAAACGCCTGATCCAATGGTTAAAAGCTGTTCAGAGGGATAACTGGACCCCGACTAAGTATTCATTCCTCTGTAGTGAGCATTTTACCAAAGACAGCTTCTCCAAAAGGCTGGAGGACCAGCACCGCTTGCTGAAGCCCACAGCTGTGCCCTCTATCTTTCACCTGACAGAAAAGAAGAGGGGGGCTGGAGGCCATGGCCGTACCAGGAGAAAGACCACAGGGGCCATGAGAGGGCACACAAGCACAGCAGCAGGGAAAGCCACAGGTTCCTCACTGTCCTCAAGTGATAACTTGATGGCCAAGCCTGAGACCCGAAAGTTGAAACGAGCTGCTCTACAAGGTAATGCCACCCCCAGGACCACCCCCGTTGTCAGTCAGGAGCAGGTGCAGTCTCTGGAAAGAACTCCAGGAGATGGACTGGCCACACCATTAGCCGGCAACCAGGGAGAGGCAGAAGTGTCAGCTGCAGAGGCCAGCCAACAGAAGGCTTCTTCCTCTGCTGATGCAGGCGGGGCAGACAAGAGTGGCATTTCCATGGATGACTTCACGCCCCTAGGATCTGGAGCTTGCAAGTTCATAGGCTCACTTCATTCTTACAGTTTTTCCTCCAAGCACACTCGAGAGAGACCATCTGTCCCCCGTGAGCCCATGGACCGAAAGAGGCTGAAGAGAGATGTGGAGCCGAGGTGCAGTGGGAATAGTGTGGCCCAGAGTCCCCCAAGATCCTCCCTTACAGCAACCCCTCAGAAGCCCTCCCAGAGCCCCTCTGCCCCTCCCACTGATGTCACCCCAAAACCAGCTGCAGAAGCTGTGCAGAGCGAGCACAGTGATGCCAGCCCCATGTCCATCAACGAGGTCATCCTGTCAGCCTCAGGGGCCTGCAAGCTCATCGACTCCCTGCACTCGTACTGCTTCTCTGCCAGGCAGAACAAGAGCCAGGTGTGCTGCCTTCGAGAACAGGTGGAGAAGAAGAATGGGGAGCTGAAGAGTCTGCGGCAGAAGGTCAGCCGCTCCGACAACCAAGTGCGCAAGCTTCGGGAGAAGCTGGACGAGCTTCGGAGAGCCAGCCTTCCCTACCTCCCCTACCTGAGTGGCCTGCTGCCCCCCAGTCAAGGTCAGTACCCCACAAGTGTGCCCCCTGCCTTCCTCTGACTTGAGGGGCTTTTCTGCCTTTAACGTGTGTCCTGTGGGCTACACTCTGGCTGTGATCTCAGCAGGTTGCTCTGTAAGTAGTCAGCTTCATTGGCCAGGGAACCTGGGTATAGCAAACCTCATGAGAGGCTTGTACACAAAGATTTAATCCCCTAGTTCAGGGGACAAGGCCTCTGGTGCTGCCCGAAGGGCCTGCTCAGTAGGTTTTTCATTAAATGGGGGAGGTCTGGCTCTATAGCATACTTACCCAGACACAAATTACAGACAAGTTAGGATCTCAAGGGAAATAAAACAGAATAATGCTTAGTCACTCTTAAAGAATTTAGGAAAACTGGGTATGCTGCCTCACACCTGTAATCCCAGGGCCCTAGAGGCCTAGGTAAAAAGAAGTCCAGCCTGTGCTATGTAGTAAGATGCAAGTGGAAGTCAGAGGACAACTTGTAGGAGTCAGTTCTCTCCTACCATGTAGGTCTCAGGAATAAGATTCAGATTGTCAGGCTTGGTGGTAAGCACCTTTACCCATTGAGCCATCTTGCTAGCCCTCTTCTGTAAAAATTTAAATGCTACAGAATAATAAGCTAAGAAGTGAAAATTTAGCCAGTTGCGTGACTCCTGCCCATCATTCCAACTCTTTCAGAAGCTGAGGCAGGATTACCATGAGTTTGAGGTCAGCCTGATACATACATAGTTATGCCTGTCTGGACTACATTGTCTCAAAAAAAGAAAAAGAAAATTATCTTTTTTCACTTCCCTCCCTAATTTTATTCCTTGTTGGTATTAAACTTTGGTGTATAGCCGGGTGTGGTGGTGCACGCCTTTAATCCCAGCACTTGGGAGGCAGAGGCAGGCGGATCTCTGTGAGTTCAAGGCCAGCCTGGTCTACATAGTGAGTTCCAGGACAGCTGGAGCTACAGGGAGACCCTGTCTCAAAAAAAAAGACCAAAAAATATATATATATTTTTTGATGTATAGTGGTTAAGAGGCTACTCTTACAGAGGACCCAAATTTAGTTCCTAGCGCCCAAATGGCAGCTAACAACTGTCTGTAACTCTAGTTCCAGGGGATTTGATGCCGTATTCTGGCTGGTGAGGGTACTGCATGCACAGGTGCATTTGACATACATGCAAGCAAAACACTCATGCATAAAAATAAGTAAATTAAAAAAAACATTTTTTTTAATTTGGTGTATACGTCTTAACTATACATTGGCTATGTTTCTGGTTTTCCCTTTATTTTACTGTTAACTGTTTTCAAAAATTGACTTCTGGGCCAGGCATGGTGGCCCATGCTTTTGATCCCAGCTCTCAGGAGGCAGAGACAAGCCAGTCGTTGTAAGTTTGAGGCCAGCCTGGTCTACATAGAGAGGTGTAGCTCAGCCAGGACTATATAGTGAGACCCTATCTCAAAAAATAAAAAGAAACAAAAAAATTGATTTCTGGGGCTGGCGGGGGGTGATAGCTCAGTAATTAAGAGCACACTTGTCTTCCAGAAGACCTGAGTCTACCTCTCAGTGCCCATGTCAGGTGGCTTAACAACTGTGGGCACCTTTACTCACATACAAACGGGTACATATAACAAGCTAAATCTTTTTTTTTTTTTTTTTTTTGAGACAGGGTCTCCCTGTAGCCCCAGCTGGCCTGGAACTTGCTGTGTAGACCAGGCTGGTTTTGAACTCACAGAGCTCTCTCTGTCTGCCTTTGCCTCCGGAGTGCTGGGATTAAAGAGGTGAACCACCATGCCCGACTATAAACTGAAGCTTAAACTTAGTTTCTAGGCATTCTTTACGTAGTAAAGATAATGTTTAATGCATAGAGAAAGCTTTTACAACCACATTCACTTTCTTTGCATCAGCATTTTTCAATAGGTGTAACCTCAGAAGCAAGAATTTCAAGGCCTCCTGGACCACCATGGAGGTAACAAAGCCCTCTTGTGAGTTTCCAGGTGCCTCCTGGGAGGAACAGCCCAGCCTGGCCATGTACTGCTTTTGTAATCCTTCACACATGATGTTGTTTTTGGTGCCTGTTCCTGTCACTGTGCAGGGCTTTCTGAAGAACTGGCTCTGTCTACATTGTTTCTTTTTTTTTCTTCTTTTTTCTTTTTTTTTTTTTTAATCCTTACTTTGTCCTTGCTTTGGTTTTACTTAAATTGTGGTTTCTGGAACCATTTCCTATCTTAAAACCTGCAGTTGAGACTGAATCTTCTCTCCCTATGGTCGTATTCTGTAGATTTCCTATGCTACAGTTATCCAGCTCCAAATACTTTGTCATTTCAGCCCTGATTCCCTCTTAACCCTGTAGTTATTAACAAAATGGTGGTGATAAACTCTCAAGTGAAAGGAAGATATTTTTTGGAATTAAGAAAATTTTTATAATAGGGACTAGAGAGATGACTCAGTGGTTAAGTCATCTTAACTTACTGACTACTCTTGCAGAGGCCCCACATTGCAACTAACAACCATCCCTAACTGCAGACACCAGTGAGTGCACTTATATCCATGTAGGTAATACACTCATACACATAAAATAGAAATTTAAAAAATTTTTAAAAATTTTATTATGAGCCTGGCATGGTGGCACACACCTTTAATCCCAGCACTTGGGAGGTAGAGGTGGGCAGATCTCTTTGAGTTCAAGGCCAGCCTGGTCTACATAGTGAGTTCCAAGACAGCTGGAGCTACCAGGAGACCCTGCCTCAAAAAGACCAAAAAAAAAAAGTTGTTTTTTTTTTTCAATGATGAAGTTTGACACTATGGTGTTTTAAAGCCTGCTTTTGGGAATTTTGAGATTTCGTTGTGGCTAGTACAGTGGTTTGAAACGAACGTGTCCTGTGCTGGGTACATTGTACTGTGCTGCGCTGACCTGGGATCTAATTGGTATGAATCAGCAGATCTGTTTCCTAGCTTCTTGTAACATGCTCAGTCTGTTGATTGTAGAAAGGTTAGGCAGTCACTGATTCTGGGGGACCTGTTTCTTCCCATGTGTCTGTCAAGTTTATTCAAGTTTTTTTTTTTTTTTTTTCTGGTTTTTTTGGTTTGGTTTTTTTGTTGTTGTTGTGGTTGTTTTTCAGACAAGGCCTCACAGTGTAGCCAGGCTGGTCCGGAGCTTATAGCAGCCCTTCTGCCTCAGCCTCAGAAGTGCTAGTAATTTACCCTGAACCACTATAGCTGGCAGCGTCTGTCCGGTTTTAATTTGGGTTGTAAGACCTTATTAGATATATTTTCCTGACCCTTATGAATACAGAAAATACCTTTCTCCTATTTAAAGTCCTCTTTTTTTTTTTTTTTCTAAGATAGTCTTTCTTGTTGCCCAGGCTTTGTTCCTGCCTAAGCCTCCAGCTCCCTGAGTAGTTGGAGTCTCAAGGTACAGGCCAGTTAAACTTTGTGCTTCCTCTCTCCCTTCTCCCACTATGGAGCCTAATCTGGTCCTAAACTCCTATTCTTTCTGCCTTATCCTCCAAGTGTTGGGATTATAGGCTTGTGCCACCACACCCAACTATATGTTATTTTTCTATCCAAATTTTGATCTTTTCATGTCATTTTATTTTTAATTTAAAATATTTTTTTATTTTTATTTTATGTTTATGAGTGCACCCATGTCGTGCAGTGCCACGAAGGTCAGAAGAGGGTGTCGGATTCCCCTGGAACCAGGAGTTAAGGACGGTTTGTAGCCGCCATGTGGGTGCTGGGAACCAAACCCGAGTCCTCTGTAAGAGCAGTCAGTGCTCTTAACCGCTGAGCCATTTCTCCGGCCCTTATTTTTAATATTTCTAAAACAATTTTATTTGTTTATTTATTAAAGGCATGCACCACCATACCTGGTTTATTATTTTTATTTCATGTGTATAAGTGTTTTGCCTAAATATATGTAAGTGCACCCATGTCATGCAGTACCCACAGAGGTCAGAAGAAGGCATCCAGTCCCCTTGGAGTTAGAAATGGTTGTTAGCCACCATGTGGTTGCTAGGAATCCAACCCGGGTCCTCTGCAAGAGCAGCCTGCTGAGCCCTCCAGCCCCGTCATTTTATTTTACAAATAAATTTTTTATTCAATTTAAAAGTTATCTTTGCCCAGGGTGGTGGCACAGGCCTTTAATCCCAGCACTTGGGAGGCAGGGGCAGGAGGATCTCTGTGAGTTCAAGGCCAGCCTGGTCTACATAGTAAGTTTTTTGTTGTTGTTGTTTTGTTTTGCTTTGTTTTTTTGGTCTTTTTGAGACAGGATTTCTCTGTAGCCCCAGCTAGCTCAAATTTCTCAATTCTGCCTCAGCCTTCTAATTAGTATTATGTATGTGAGTCACTGTGTGCAGCTGTTATAGTCTGTGATCCACAAATGCCCCATACAGATGAGTCTAGAGAAAGGAGAGGGAGGGAGGGAGGGAGGGAGGGAGGGAGAGAGGGAGGGAAGGAGGGAAAAGTAGAATAACAGCAAGGCTGATAATGTCAGTTTATGAAAGAGGAGGAAGCTAGTTCTGTGCACCTACTACAGTATGTTGGTGAAAGGCGGAGGACAACTTGGCAGGAGTCAGTTCTTTCCTTGCACCATGTGAGTCCCGGGGATTGAACTCAGGTCATTAGATTTGTCATCAAGCACTCTTACCAGCTGAGTCAGCTCACCAGACCTATATAGCCCAGGCTGCCCTCAAACGCAATTCTCTTGCCTCAGCCTGGAATTACAGACATGTGCCACCATGCCTGGTTTGTACTTCAGTTTTTTTAAACGTATGTAGTTATAGTATCAAACAGGATTGATTTAATTGCCCATCTCTTCCCCTATCCTCCCCAACCATGCCAGCTATGGTCTTTTTATTGTCATTGTAGTTTTGCTTTTTTTAGAATGACATGTATGTGGAATATATGGCTATTCAGAAATACGGTGACCATCTTCTTAACCCCATCTCAGACCCACCTGCCTCTGCCTCCAGCCCAGAATATAGTTTTGAAACTAAATATCTGCCAGGTGTGGTGGC